CACTGTCAGTTTTCAGGAAGCAGCAGAAGTTAAGATATAATCTGAAGCAGCCACATGGGTTTCTTTTCCAGATTGATCTCTAATATGCCAAAGTCTCTTTAACTGAAATCATCAAGAGACTTCCTTTTAGGAGAAAGTCTGGAAATTTTACTAGAATGAAATCAGGAACATAGAGACTCATTTGTAAGAAAAGATGAAGAGTGTGGGTTAAAATTTTGAAATGTTCATGTATCTGAAACGCACAAAAGCAGTTTAAAAAATGAAAAATTAATCTTGGTTCAAAACGAAAACTAGGAGAGACAGAATTTTTATAAGATTTTTCTTTAGTGACCATGCAGAATTAGAAAATGATATCCCCCCCTTGCCATCACTTAAAAGTTGTATTATCTAGCATATTAAGAAACTAAACAAGCATTAAGAATTATGTTTTGATAGTTTTACATTCAGAGCACTGCTGTAACAGACTTTAGAACTGGAATATCACCTCATGACTAAGTGAACCAATCATAAAGAAGTAAAGTTCAGTTCCATAACAGACTGGCTCCTTAGGGAGATCATTCAAGAATTTAATTTATTGACAAAAACACATTGCTATCTGCATGGCAGAATGTTAGTAACTACTGAAGCTGGGTGAGGGGCACACAGGAGGCTCCTTAATACTACTCTGTTTACTTTATATATGCTTGAAATTGTCCATGATTGAGAGTTAAGAATAAAACAAAAACCATGTTATAAAATGCAGCATGAACAAAATAATTCTGGGAAATTTTGGGTAGTTACAAACAGCTTTTCACTTGTCCAACTCACAATATGCTAAATTTGGACACAAACCCTCCCAAGATGTCCCATCCCTCCTGCCTTATGCAGATTCCCAACCATAAATCATGCTTACTCTAAGAGCCCTTTCTCCTGACATCAGATCTTTACGTGACGACTCCAGATCCTTTATACAGTTTTATGTCCCCTCAGCCATTAGTTTCTGGTCACCAAAGATCCTGAATTGATCTGCTATTTCCATGACTGGACCAGATGCTATGAGAACAGAGAAGCTGAAAGGAAGCACAGTTAAGTGGTTAAGAAAATAGGCCCTAGGATCATTTTGTCTGAGTTAATTTAATTCTGGCTCTATTTATTAGCTAGATGATCTGCAGGTCACTTCTGGCTTAAAGGTCATGCTCTTTCAGATAAATCTGACTAAGAGTGAGAAGCACTCCAGGTTATTTTCTCTATTTTAAATTCTTAAATATTTACGAACTATTTTACTCTAACAAGCCTATCAACTTTCCAAAATCAAAGACAGTGTAACAAGTCCCAAGGTCTGTTATCTCATTCAACTGTGAAATTCACTTCTGATATGATCCCTAAACAAGGTAGAAAACACACAGTAACATATTTCAAGCAACAGGGGAGAAAAGAAAGCCATGTTGGCTGTATGATGTTAGGTATGCATCCAATTTTCAGTCCAGCTGATGAAGAATACTAGGATTCACCAACATTAAGTAATACAATGGGCCCAGTAAGACCAGAATTAATTTCTCTTTTTATTCTCTTGTGGTCAGAAAGGAACCTTTGTCAATTTTAGGAAATAGGTTCTTTGATTTACTTAGTAGTCTCCAGGCAGGAAGGGCCATGAACCTGACAATGGGGAGGCTGAAGCCAGGAGCGGGCAGAGGGTTAAGGGCATCCTGCCCAAGTATCTCTGCTCTGTTCACCCGGGCTTGTATTATCAACACTGCTTTTTCAGAAGCCATCAATCGTAACAGGCAGAAATCCTAAAGAAAATGGTAACAAACTGTTAACAATGTTATCTACAGAAACAAAATCCCAGCAGGACCATTTAAGGCTGTGAGGGAGCACAAAGGTTATGCCTCAGACATGCCAGCCCGTGCCCACCGGGTAACAGACTGGGGGGCACTGCAGGGGTAAACACACACCACCAGCATGACAACATACTAGGGACTCTCTAAGGTCAGGCCAAGTGTGCCAACTAAATTAGATCATGTTTTCTTTCCTTCCTTCCTGTTAAGTCACAAAGAACATTACCAAGAAATACATGAGAATAATTTATTTTGGCTTTGAATGAACTATTCCCTACCCCCACTCAGTACGATTTCTTATCATTTGGCTCTTTACAGAAATGCTTTGCTCTGTATAATCTCTGAAATTTCAGTTATTCAAGAACAACAAAAAAGTTACTCTAATATTAACTAGATAGCTGCGGATTTCACTAGGAAGGATTAAGGGCAAATCATAGCTCTCTCAACATAATCATGGAATGAGTAACAGCAGAAACAAAACTTTTATTGAGTATGAGTAATGAGGTACAGTTGAATGGGAAAAAAAAGCAACGGCCCAAAATTCTCTTTAAGAGGAGGTATTTAGGTTTAAAGTAATAAAGACAGTAACACACCACAAAACACAGTATATGCCTGACTTTTCCAATGCTCATCCTCTCTTAAATGGACATCACTATGTAGTATAAAGCATGATAGCTGTTTTTCTTTTTCAAGTGCCTGACTTGTTTGACTGAGGGGCATCTACTTCAAAGAGGCCTACCCTTGGAAGATGGCTATCTAGAATAAACACAAAGCCAGCCAAGGGAGGAGACAGAGCCAGGCCACCTCCTCCCACTGCACTCCTTTGTTTTAGAGATCCTGGTTGATTTCTGTAACTGACCATTTGGTCAATTTTTTCTCTTCCCAAGCTTTAAATTCCCACTCTTACATTTTAAATCTACCAATAAAAAGTAAGCCTGAGAAACCCTAGCCCCCATACAAATGCAAAAGGCCAGGCCTGCAGTGCCTGCTCACTCCTTCTCTCCATCCCCCTCTAGCCTCCCCCCTTACCCCCAGGACTTCACTGTGGGGCCTAAGGTGTGTGGTGTAATATCCAGGTCCTGTATGTAATAAAACTTTACTTCTTCAAAGTTTCCTGATGGTTACTGCTGAAAGGTATCTTGTAATTGTAAGAACCACAAGGGCTGGTCCAGTAGAAAACTGATCATTGACAGGCTGAAACAGGCACAAAATACACTACTACTACTATCTACAAACTCAGAGAATGTTAGATAGAAAATACCACAGAAGTAAGCCAACAAATGGATCCAGGTTCATCTAAACAAAGTGTAACTTTAGTCCTTTTCCTAGACACTAACCTTTATGATAAATCCAATTACAAGACCAAATTAGACCAAAAATGAAACACAAGCTACAGAAGTTCACCTGAAGCAGTATCTTATGTTTTGAAATGTTACAAATATCAACTCCTTCCAAGTCAAGACAAGCTATTTATTCCCTTGTATCCATTTCTTAATTACCACCAATACACAAATAAAACTGAACTGTGAGTTATTTATTTTCTACTGGCTTTAAGGTTTATATCCCTTCCTACCTGATCCCAATGTGTATTTTGCCTTAAGATGAAACTTATTTTACAAATCATCAATTTAAAATAGGTTGCACTTTAACTCATAATTGTTAATTTAACAAGCACCCTGTAATCACAGAACAGTAACAGGGACCACAGAATGGGGTGAGCAACTATTTGACAATGAACAGACATAAGGCACTAATAGTGCTTGTATTCATTTACATGTAACAGTGAGCTGCTGCATTTAACAGCAGATCCCAGGGATAGTTAGCCAAAATCCATCAATGACCATTTCTTGGGGAAATGGTAAGAGTTGGAACCACAGATTAAATGGCTTTCATCGTATACCAGCCTATGCTGCTCAACTGCAGCACACTCAGGTCCTGTTGAGTTCAAAACTCAGATTAACAGGCTCTTTTAAGAGAGTAATTTTCAAATATAAATAGCTGAAGCCCTATCTGCTCACTTCCAAACCTCACCCTTCCTCCACCTCTTACCCTTGGAAATCTGAGGCTCTGAGGAACACAGTTGGAAAATCACTGTTCTAAACATAAAGGGAGAAAATAGGCAGAGTTGCTGCGCTATTTTCTTTCTTTTTTCTTTTTAAAGAAAATTTCTGGTTGACTTGTGCTCTGGTGAGCTATATGATGAAGTCTGATCCCAAGTGTATGGGTGTCTCACTGGCCTCCCTACCTATTTCCTCCCAGTCTTCTAATTAGTTTAGTAAGCTGTGGTTAATGTGTTTTCCTAGCCAGAATCCATTGGCTAAAAGTAAGGAATACAGACTCTGGGAAAGCACTGCTACAAAATGCAACCAGCATATAGTATGCATGCATATACACGCTCACATACATATTACTCTATGACAGCTGCCACTTTGGGTTTGAAATGCTAAAAACTGAAACATAGAAGCTCCTTAAAAGGCTTTTATCTATTATGAAAAACAGTCTTTAAAAATATGGTCTCAAAATTTGCAAGAATATACCCTAAGCTATTAATCAAAGGTGATCTCTCGGTGGTAAGTTTATTAGAGCTTTTTATTTTCTTCTTTTTGCTTATCTATATCTTTACTTTTTTACAACTCATATATTATGTATGTTATTTTTGAGCCTAATTACTATAACTTACTTATGACTTCTGCCTCAGTTGATTTGTCAGAGTTTTAAATGGTGACCAAAGCATTCTTTTCCTCTTTAGACTTCGTAACTTCTGTCCAATAAATGCCAAAAGTTTCTTGTTAATCCCATTTTCACACTAGAAGGCTCTGATTTTCTAGAGACTTGGTACAATAGATTAAAATGCACCAAATGCTATACAGCAAGTGTCCTGACAAACCTTCTCACTGGCCAAGTGGTTCTGGTCAAAGAGGTCTAGTAGGGTAGCATGGTTTGAAATGAATGCCAGCACACATTGCTCTCAGAGTCAACTTGGGGGTTCAGGCATGCCATGCTGGTCATGGGGATCTTGTGGGCAAACTAGATACTCAGATTTTTCTCTAGAATAGTCCAGCTATTGGGACCAATCACTGAAAAAATGCTCCACTAAGGCAACTTTCTATCCATTATCTTCTAGGAGGAAGAATAGAGCAGACTCCAATCACCCTGAGTTAGTAATTACCAGATCAAGCTCACCTTTGTGGCAATGGTCTTCACCCCAGGAATTCTCCACTCTCCATTTCACAAATGCACCATCCTGATCATCCTGAAAAAGAGTGGGTAACAGAGTATAGTCTGAAACTAGATCTGAGGTGTCATGTAATTTTAGCATTCAGCCTCTCAGAAGAACCAGCCTTCTCTGTGTGGTTATGACATATAAGATCAGGGCCATGTATTTTCTATAACTAAAGGGATACTCTAATTTGAACCTCTTGGGGTAAAAATGTAATACACCTAACAAAGCAATAAATACTATTTTCTCCTTCATATTCTATTCTACACAGAAAATAAGCATACTAAAATTCTAGTTGGCTAAAAAACCCAAAATATTAAATTTTAAAAGCAGTGAACACCACCTGAGGCCAGAGATTCTCTGGCTTGTTTAGTCAATCAGCATTCTTTGCAAAGGCAACCCACCGATTTGTTTTGGAAATGATTCTAAGACCTGGTCAGGGCTTAAAAGGGAAGACAAATACTTTCTCATCATACTGCCTAATTTTCTGCTTAGAGGAACCGAGTGATGATACTCTCCAAATGTGTGCTTTTACTGATTCAGTTACTCACACACTGAATTTAATAGAGGAGAGATTGAATGGCAAAGCAAAAGTAAAAAGACTATTTTCATGAAACAAAACCCAGGCAGTTCTACTGTTCTCCCTCTTCTATCTTCATTAATAAAATGAGTTCAATTTTAATCTTCTTAAAGGGACTATGATATTCATCATGATAACCTTCATTTATTGTCCCACAAAGAGGGACAAGAGGAAGGCTCCATTTGGGAAAAGACTTTTCTCTTTCATATTTACCCAGAGCATTTACTGCTGTCAAAATGACTTAAATCTTTGTAGCATGAGAAGAGAGTTGGCTCCTGTATTATTTCCTACTGATTTCATCTGTCACTCCCACTGCATTAGTCTCATCCACACTTGACTCTACTCTTGGCAGTTTTTTTGGAATTCAGTAATGTTCAGTCTCAGAAACATCCAACAATCAAACCCACAAGTTTCAAACACCCTTATCTATACTACTCCTTAATCTTATTTCTAGGTACCTTCAAAATCACATCATTAAACTATATATTCTGGGGCTAGCCTATTAAATGTCTGTTTTGGTTTTCTACTCCCCCCATTGCAGTCCATATTTACTTTCTTTTTAAATGTAACTGTTGGAATCTGTATCACCTAAGGTCTTTTATTATAGTAAGTCTGAAAATGTTTCTTCTTTCCCTTGCCAATGAATTCCTGCACAACCTAGATCAAGCGGTTCTCTGTGTCATCTGTAAATACAGATTAATAGCTGAACCTCCCCTACTGGGATTCCAAGAAATAAGTAAAAAAGAAAGAATATCCCAGAATACAACTACTAGCATTTAACTTTATATTATCATTCAAATGCAGTATAAACAAGTTTTCATGGCCAAAACCTGAAACTGGAGAGAAGACAAAAATTTCAATATAAAATACCAGTTTAATACTATAAACTCTGCTTTAACTATTAGCATGTAAGGCAGCTCTATTTCCCTAAAGAAAAAAATGGCATGTTAATAAACCATGCCAATCAAACAATGGAAGCTCCAGAGAAAATGACATGGCATGTAGGATTTTTATTTCTGAAAATAGAAATACTCTATAACAGAGAAAGAAAATGATAAAAAGCTGAACCTCTCTCGGAAATGACATATTTTTGGGTTGTTTTTTTGTTTTTAACAGTCCTCTAAATAGTTTAAAAGTTTAACTTTTAGGAGCTTTAGTTAGAAATTTACTGAATTTTACAATATAGCAGGTCTGAACATAAAAATGAACAATTTAGTATTTCATTCTAAGTATCTGAGAACATTTTTGCTTGTGGTGGTGAAGGATTAAAGTAGCTTAAAGTCTTTTCTTCCTTATAATCCCTGAGAAAGGAATAAAATATCCATTCTATGCCTAGAAATAGGGAGGCTTATTTGTGAAAAATAAAATTTCAGTTGTTGTTTCCAACACTGTGTCCTAGAAATAGTGATATTACTATTCAGAGTATTTCATAGGAAATTCAAAATACTTTACATCCAATTTCCTGAAGCTCTGCATAAATCCAGTAATGGGCATGGAGTCCACAAATTACTGTTACTGACATTTTACTGCAGAAGAATCTGAATGACAAATGAAAGGAAGGTAAGTCTGAACATACGTCATCATGATAGGAACATGTTCAGGGCGCATTTTAATTCCTTATTAAACAGAAGTGATCTTCTCCCAAGTTCCCTTGCTGACCTCTCTTCATACCAAAAACTTCCAAAATTACAGAAAAGCAGTTACTTCCTTACTCCCTGCTGATCCAAATTTTGCCTCTCAGGGAAAGCTCCTATTTTTATTACCTCTCAACATGCAGCCAAACCCCAAGTGATGAGGTTATAATGTCTTGGTTGGAAGCTAACTTTTAACAGAAATCATATATACTATGAATGGAGTTCTGCTGGACAAACAGTCTGCAGGAGAATGGAGGTCCATCTGTACACACACTGCAGCAGGCATGCTGAGGGTCATACCTTCTCTGAGACAGCAGTGAAGGTCATGGCGTGGGTCATAAGTGACTCACCAAAAGTCAACCTCTCAGCTTTATTCATGTTCTTCAAGGAGACACCAAACACTAACTCATGGTCATAGCTGTAAAGAGAATGACAGTACAGAATAAAGAAAGTAAAACCAAGGGGAAAACTGGTGTCTGGTTGTAAAAGGAACACAGAAGAAACTGAAGGGCCTCAATAACTTCAAATAAATATGGGCTGTAGCTCTTCAGAGAATATGGCACATGTAGAATTTAGTCTCTCAATGGGATTCCATTCTCTGTGTGTCACTAAAATACTCAGGAAAATATGAAGTGATTAAACAAATTCTTCATATCAAAAAGTGGAAAGATAAGCTCGCATTGTCATTTTTTAAAAAGTGTGTGAAATAACTTCTTTAAAAAATGATCTTTTTTGCTAGTAGAACCACCTAGTTTCTGAATCCACTTAGACCATTGCTGACTGTGAAATTTAAATAAATAATGTCAAAAATATTGGAGAATATTTTTGAAGTTAAAAAAAATCACAGATTCTCTTAGTGGATTTATTTTCTCTTCTTTTTAACTGTCAAATTATTTACTCAACTTCCTATAAGTAACAATTACTTATAAGTAACCTTAAAGTAGCATTTTTTAACAGTCAAGGAATTCTGTATGATTTAGTTCACAAATTAAACTTCACTGTCATAAACAACCAGGAGCAACGTTTTAAAGTGTGCATGCAAATTAGTCCTAGTTGTCATAAAATCAAAATATATAAGGCATCTAAGTAAGAGAAGTAATTAAGAAAGCTCAAATAGCATACAAGAGGTCTGGAAAGCCTTTTCCTACATTCCCAAATGCACTGAGCAGATTTCACAGTAATCAATCATTTTTTTACAGTGCCTTCCTCATATAGGATGGTTTTTTAGGAGCACCCAACAATTTCAATTCAGATATGGAGTATGATTTTGACTTCCCAGGATACAGCAGGATGAGTATGTGGAGTTTCTACTCTGAGTCCTCTCTATAAGACACAAAGGAAGAGACCCACTCTAGGCTAACCTCAATCTTGGGTGGACCTCAGCCACCTCACCTCCTAATAAGAGGGCATACCAATAGCAACAATCCACAAATGACTATTTTGAATTTCTCACACTCACAGATTCATGTCACTGAGGCCCAGCTTGTCACTGAAGTATTTTCCAACATCAGACCCAAACCACACAGCCTAGAAATAGAGAAAAGAGGAAAAAATAAGTCAATATAAATCCTATTGTCCTGTTAAACCAAAGAAGCGGAAGAGAAATTTTTAACCCCAATGTGGAAGACATAGAAACAATACCAACCTCTCCATCTTTGATGGAGGCAGCAACCATCTTTTTTAAGAAGTCAATGGGCTGGTTGTTATACAGAGTTTTTCTGCCTCCAACCATATTGCCTAAGTACTCCACTGTGTAAAGTTTGTTGTACTTGTGCTGGGGCCGAGGGTCATTCACTAAACAAATCTATTGAGATCAAGCACATGTTGATTAGAACATAAAACCAGAAATGTCAAGCAAGACACACTCTCCTTCAAGCTCATATGTTTGCATGAAGCCCATCACCTCTGCCTACAAGAATAAACATTACAAACACACTGTTAAATAACGACAACAAAAAGGTGGCAAAGTGAGAGAGGTTCTTCAATATTCTCATTAGTGTAAGGGGTACATTTGGGAACTGCATCTTCCTATTTTTTTCCTGCTGGCAAGAACTGCCCCCAAACTAATTCTGAAGAATTGCATGCACTGAGATCAACGCAAGGCAAGATGCAGGTCCCATCACTACAAGACCCCTGCTCTCAAGTCACAAGATGGTTACAACACCTGGCAATACCACAACTGAACTGAGATTCCAATCTGAAAACAAAGCCTTTTGCTTCTAAGAGGGTCAATATGCCAATGAAGGCAGGGACTCTGGTCATCTTGCTAGACAAGTGGAGAAGGCTGGGAAAGAACAGCAAAACCATGATGTGATACTGCTCCCTTCCCACGAGAGTCCCTAGGAGGGCCCACCTCAGAGGTGCTCTGAGCCCATGGTAAGAAACACCCAGTATGCTTATTGTTTTTACACATGAGAATGATGCTGAGCCTCAACGAGGGGAGCATGTAGGAATTAAACTGACTGCTGACCTCCAGTTAGAAAAGTCTTGGAAGAGAGGCACTAGGGAAAGGTGACAGACAGTGTATGACCACCTTTATTAGGTGCATAAAATACTTCAGATGAAAGGAGAAAAAAATTTGGTTAGAGTCTAGTTTAATGACCATGCATGTTAACCCAGGAATCGTATACCCTTCTTTGTAGTCAACAGGCATTTAAAAATAAACAGCCAGTGGCTAATGATTCCAGTCTCCAACCTTATCTTCCACATTGAAGAGTGGCTTGACATGTTCCCTGTAGAACTCCAGGGGTGTTATGGGGCCAATCTTCTGATAATTTTTATCTTTGTCTCGATACTCCCAGGTGAATGTCTCTGGCGGATTACCCACACAGATGCACACCACTCGGAATATCTGGAAGAAAAAAGGAGGTCAGATGAGCACTGGCTAAGGGGAAGTGTTATTTTTTTCACCTCTTCATTTTCCTCAAGCTTGGGAAACAATAAATCAGTGGCTAAATTCAAGTCAGAAATTTCACAGGAAAACTGAAAAAAATTGGAAGGTTTGATGCCCTGTAGTTGGTATCAGTCAGTTTATAAGTTCTTAAACACTGTAAACAATACAATTCTGAAATGTTAATACTTAGTGCTTAATATTTGTCTTGCAAATTAATGGATTCCTTCCCTTTATGCACCTAGGTTTCCCACTGACTGCGCCAGGGGTCTCCACTCATAGAAAAGTTATTAACTTCTCAATTGGAGCTTGGATGACAATGCCTGTTAAAAGTTATTATTAAAATAAGAATAACTTTTTGGTAAAGATACCTCAAGGCAAATGCTGGGCATAGAAGCCACAGGACATAAATCTGCAAAGAAGTAAAAAGCTAACCTTTTCAAAGAATATTGCTTCTCTCTCACTTACCAACTTTACATTTCCCTGTATGGCCCCGGAAGATGACTGGTTAGCCAGAGACGGGTAAGATTCCTCAAGGGAGGAACAACCTAAGACAGGCACAGTCGCAGGGGG